AGCGACATCAGATTCAATCAGTTGAGCAGCATCAACGCACTCAGGTCCTTCTGAGTGAGCACGCTCAGGCCCTCCTCTCCTCCTGGTTTGGAGTATCAAATTTCGCTCCCTCTGCAGCTGCTGCTGCTGCCGCTGCTGCCACTGTTGCCACTGCTGCCGCTGCTGCCACTGCTGCTGCTGCTGCTGCTGCTGCTGCCAATGCTGCCACTGCTGCTGCTGCCACTGCTGCACTGCAGCAGAAGTTGATTCAATCCCAGGACTCACAATAAGGTCAAATGCTGCTGCCACTGGTTCAGGTGGTGGTGGTGCTGCTGCTGCTGGTGCTGGTGGTGGTGCTGGTGGTGGGACCGTTTCAGTTTCATCTGGTGCTGGTTTCAATGCCCCGCCTCATGCTGCCGCCCAGCATCCAGCTCAGCTTCCCTTGGACCGTCTTCCTGGTATGCCGGGGCAGCGGCCGGGCGGGTATTCTTGTCCTGTCTGCGGCAACGTTTTCCCCACGTCGCAGGCGCTTGGGGGACACATGACGTGCCACGTGGCACGACGTAAGAGGACGTCTCGAAAGGGGGAGCCTGCTGCAGCAGCAGCATCGGCGGCTAAAGCAGGACTGGCAGGAGGGAGGAGGAGAAGGGAGGGGAGAGAGAGGGGGAAGGGAAGGGAGAGGGGGAGGGGAAGGCAGAAGGGAAGAGGGAAGGGAAGGAGGAGGGGAAAAGATGGGGAGGCAAAGGAGCTCCAGAAAAGCTATTTGAGAAAGCAACAGGGGGTGCTGGTGGTAGTGCCAAAGCCAGTCCTTTCCAATCCCTCCCCACTCTTCCCTCGCAACCCGCTTCATTCTCCCTTCCAAGCGCAATGCAACCGTGATGCACCTCCCTTCCACTTCTGGTGCCAGCAGTGCCAGCGCTGCTGCTGCTGCTGGTGCTAGTGCTGCTAGTGCTAGTGCCGCTGCTAGTGCAGGTGGTGCTGCTAGTGCTGATGCTAGTGCTGCTGCTAGTGCTGGTGCTAGTATTGGCACTCCTGCTGCTGCCAGTTCTGCTGCTGCTCGCGGGGTCGATCTCGGTTCACAGAAGCATCACAGCGTGGAGTGTCCACTGCTGTTGCTGCTCCTACTTCTGCTTCTGCTCCTGCTGCTGCTATTTTATCGATTCCGGAGCTACTGGAACGTAATCCAATCCGGGGCGCAAGCCTGGGCCGCAACCCAAGTCTTAACCTCAGTCCGAACCTCGGCCAACGCCCGAGCCTGGCAGACGGAGAACCGAGCCTGTTGCAGTACGTTGGGTCACTGCCTCGTCGTGATGCCCTGCCTTCACTGAAGCCAACCTCGTTAGAATCACCTTCATTTAGAGCACCTTTGTTCGCGCCTCCTTCTCTGATACCTCCTTCATCAATATCTCCTTTATTAGCACCCCCTTCAACTGCTATAGTGAGCACGGAGATGACAATCCCGCCTTCCACATTTCTAGCTACGGCTCTTCATACTGCAGCAATGGGAATTCCGTTACACCTAAGAACAGTCTCCACTGAAAGGGCTTTTAACGAGGACGCTAATAAGGCATACACTGGAATGGCTTCTACCGAAGAAGCTACAGGAAGAGGAGGGAGGGAAGAGACTGGGAGGGGTGCCGAAAGAGGGAATGGAAGTGGGAGTGGGAGAGGGAGAGGGAGCGGGAGCACAAGAGGAGCAATGGATACAGAAGTAGCTCCTGCTTTAGCTACTGTGGATACTCTGACTCAAATCAGTCATGCTGATGCGGCCTTGCAGACTGGGGTGAGACAGGGGTGAGGATCTGGAGGGATTGGAGCTGACTCTGCTAATGAGACCTGCGTCACAGAGCTTCTGCGAATGCAAATGCCGAGAATGTCAACACTGCGAATGTCATCCTGGGAATAAACAAGAGGAAGCAGGGATAGGTTCGCTAAACACGAGGCAGAGGCAGAAACTCGTAGTATGCTTCTGACTCTCGAGATTAGCCTTATGCAATGTCATGAAATTCAGCAATATATAAAAGGTCAGTAGGAGGTGAAAGAAGGCTTTGCCAATTTAGAGTGTTCTTGTTTCTATGACCTGAGTTGAATGCATAATTAGTGAAAGTCCTGTCCTTCAAACTGCAACATCTACATATTCCACAATGCATAGATGTGGTTACGGTGTTCAAGTAAGAAATTTGACACTGCCTAGACTTGGTTGTACATGTACAGCACCGTGCTGAGAATGAAAATCGCTAGTGCGTACAGGTGAGTGCGACATTGTGTGTTTATAAGCGTTTGTTATGGGACCGTTTTAGACGCGTTGCTTCCAGATTAACCGGCTTGTCAATACAGCGAATGTCAGTGATGCGCAAAACAGGGTGTACATACACCCACTGTGTTGCTCGTAGCATGAGGAGCGTTGGATATGCAAGCAGCGGCGCTTGGCTGTTCTAACGATCACCACGCTGGCTTGGCTTGGAGAGATTTATGTAAAGGAATCGCGTTGTCGATTTAAAGCCGTGGCCCAACTATCAGCTTCAACTTCGAAGTGTTATAGCTTGGAGCTTGGTTGTCCCAGGCAATTCTGTGGCGAGAAGTTTGTCTTTAACGAGAGTCCATCTTTTTTTATCCAATAAGGGTCTCGTTACGCACACTCCATGTTTGTCCTGCTACTGTTCCTAAGAAGTTGCACCCCGCCTTTAACGCTGCGATGGGCTGTCGATGCTGTCTTATGAGGTAGAACCTCGTGACACACGCAAATAACGGTGTAGGAAGGTGAGTAGGCAAGGTGCAGGAGGTGGGAGGCAAATGAAAGGGATTTTCGAATTAGCTAAATTTGAAGAACCCGAAACCCGAAACCCCTGCGCATCAGTTTCGGTTCCATTTTCACAAAAGAAAATCAATGCTCTACGAGTCTTGTTTAGAGTGCGCAGTCCAATAAGCTCGGAACTGTGAATCGTATTTTCTGGGTGGAAGCACTTCAGAATGTGCTTGGTGGGTGGTGTTGCGTTGTCTCTGCACACCAGGTGTAGCCTAGAAGCAGAAAGAAACAACAGTTCTACGCGATCTAGCCAAATGGTTTTCCAACACCACCCTACCCCGGGCATGTGATATTTCTGTGAGGACACGCTACAGTACTTAATGTTTTGACAATAGCTGGGTGTGTACAGCTGCATGGTGCACAGATGCATCAGAGAGCACTCCAGGCGATCAGATCACGAACATCGTGACGTCACTACCACGTGACACACTGTTAGTGATAGGCTAATATGAGCTCGCACGTGAACACAAAAATATTATGATAATGTGCTGGGGATTCTGGTTTGCGGGTTCGGATACGTTCGCGTCATTTTGGAACCAGGAGAATGGCAGGCCTCGCAAACCACGCTGGACTCCGTAATATCCACGTGGATTGACTGCTGCTGATAAGAGCGTGTCCGAAATGAAGCGTCGAACGGATGTCGATGGATGTCGGTTAATTTCTACCCTCGGATCGAGAGTTCCAACCGTCAAGATTTACCGACATCGGATGTCGACGGATATCAACTTCACTTCGGACCCGCCCTAAGCTGTTCCGCAGCAGGGGGCATGATATTGTACACTCATTTCTCAACCTGCTCACCTTTCGCAATCGCTGAATACATTACTTGTTTATTGCATGCAGGTGGCATAAAGCGTACCTTGGAACCCACAGGCAAAGCCGCATCGGGTGACGGACTGGCTCTGGGGCATAATATTACCCTTATCGCCGGATACCATTTCCAACCGTTGTTTTCAGCGCTAATGTGCTGCTTGGGTAACGTGCATCACCTCAATTAACCGTTTTTCTACAAATTGTTTCTGAAGGTGGTGGCGTTCTGCAACTCGTTTACGTTGTGCAACCATAAGCTCTGCTAGCGCAAATGAGGGTGTACAGTATTCTTGCGAAGCACTGAGACCACGAAACCCCTAGTGCATCTGGGCATTACGAAAAAACTGTGCAGAATATGGATCAAGGTTTGCATTGCACAAGGTTGTTTCTGGAAGGTTCATTCGGCTGCCAGCGTCAGCTGGGATGAATTGTGCGAACTGCACCAACTTCCCCTCGATAGAGAATCTCGACTCTGTACAAAATGCCCCTCAGTGTTGCATACACGACGCGAATGTTGTACTCACTCGCAAATTTCATACACTGAGGTACGTGAAGTAAGGGCGTGTTACCTCAAAAATTCAAAAAAAATCTTGGTTCGAACAAACAATAGGTACACGCTTCGCGGCTTCTTGTGAGGTCTTCGCCAAGTCTCCGTTAGCTCGGCCAAAAAGTCGCTAAATTGCACAGATCTGTCACGTCCAGCATGAAACATCGTTTGCTGTTCGAATGAGGCCGTTCGGACAGAATGATATAGAGCACCTGCGACGCCTGCGACCAAAAACGAATAACTGATTTTGTAACTGGCGATTCCTAAGTTTCTCTCGTCATGAATCAAAACCATCTAGCGATGGTTGTGGGACGTCGTCTGTTGGGCGACGTCGCGTGTTCGATCACCTCTGTCACCTGACGTGACAGCCTGTCACATTTCACCCGATTTTCACATCTTGTTCGACCATCAGAAGACACACAGATGAGAAAATGAGAACGAGAATGAATGAACTATGAATGAACTGAGTACAAATACTAACCCTAATTGGGTTGTACCCCTTGTGGACTACCCCACTATAGCATACACAATATGCAAAAGCTATATGTTCTGACACACCCCCATAGGCAAAGTGGGGGAGAACAAGGGGTCACAAGACCAGTCAAGCAAAGCAAAGCAAAGCAAAGCAAAGCAAGCTCAAGGTGGATCACAAAGTCACCACACAGTCCGAGCACAAGGTCAAGGCCACAAGGCCAGTTCACATGAAGGGGTAGACAGATGTATATAATGCTAAACAAGCAAGAGCAGGTATATATATATGCAAGAGTACAAGCAAGGTCAAGAGGTGAGCAAGTGAGGCAAGACTGGGACAAGTCCCAGCTGAGTGCAGAAGCGCTGATGATCACAAGGCGGAAGTGCCTAGGTGAAAACATCAGCAGTGTTGGCCTCAGAGGCCACGTACGCAAGTCGCAACTGACCACGCTGCTGCAGCTCACAAGCAAGAAAGTAGCGGAGAGCAATGTGCTTCGTTCTGTGCTCCAGGCGCTGCTCACGACACAAGGCCAGCATGGCCTTCTTGTCTACGTACAGCACTGGAGGAGAACGAGGCGACTCTCCAAGGTCGGTCAGCAGGTAGGTGAGCCAGCGAAGCTCCTGTGCAGCCATGGCCCCCGGCGTAGATCTCAGCCTCACATCTGGAGCCGAGAACAGAGGACGAGCGAGTAGCCCGCCACGAAACAGAGCCAGAACCAAGACTGAAGGTGTAACCCTGGGACGACCGCTGAGTAGCCTGGTCGTCAGCCCAAGAAGCGTCCGCGTGCCCAGTGAGGACCACTGGACTCCGCCCTCCAAGCACTAGCCCCATGCCCGAAGTACTGCACAAGTAGCGCAAACACCCTCTTCGCTGCAGCCATGTGCTCTGGTCTGTGTCTCCCAGGAGCAACATAGCGTGCAAGAATGCTAAGAGGGTATGGAAGGTCAGGTCGTGTGCAGGTCATCAGGTACATGAGGCAGCCAACAAGCTCTTGGTACGGGCCACTCGACTCTACGGACTCATCCGAAGGCAGAGCTGAGAGCGAGTGGCGAGTAGACAGAGGAGTGGCCTGAGGCGAGGAGTACGTGAAGCCGAAGCGCTGAAGGACCTGCTGCACCATGTGTGACTGAGTCAAGGTAATGGTGCGGCGTGCTCTGTCCCGGATGATCTGCAAGCCAAGGTAGCTGCGCACTTCACCCAGGTCTGTGCACGTGTGTCTCTTCTGCAGCTCGGACTTCACGTAGGCGAGTCCAGCAGTGTCAGCTGTGGCAAAGACCAAGTCGTCGACGTATACGAGGATGTAGAACGGCGGCAGAGAGGTGTCGGTGCGCAGAAACAACGACGGGTCAGCAGTAGAGGGAGCAAACCCAAGAGCCCCAAGCGTAGTCCTCAGTGTGTCGTGCCACTCACGTGGTGCCTGGCGGAGACCGTAGACTGGTCGTCGGAGGCTCCACTGGGTGCCAGGAGGGAAAGTCCCAGTGAAGCCAGGTGGACGGCGCAGCCAGATCTCCTCGTGCAGGCTACCCTGCAAGAAAGCAGTGCTGAAGTCAAGAGAGTGAAGCTCGTAGTCCGCGCTGAGCGGCTATGTGTCAGCAGCACCCGAAGAGTGGTCATCTTCGGGGTGGGAGAGAAGGTCTGAAAGTAGTCAACTCCCTGCCGCTGACTGAAGCCACGAGCGAGGTACCGCGCCTTGAAGACAGGTGGAGAGCCTGGCGGCCGCTTCACCCTGAAGATCCACATGCCACTGACGATGTTCGCCCCAGGAGGGGGAACCGCGTCAACGTAGGTGCCTGTGGACTTCCAGGAAGCCATCTCTGCATCCATAGCTGCCTGCCACTGAGAGGAGTAGGGACCCTCTACGGCCTCCGCGTAGGAGCGCGGAGTCGGGATGTCTAGTGCATCCGGGTCTCCCTCAGGAGCAAGCAGTACAGACGCGAGATGAGGTGAAGCAGCAGCCAGAGACTGTAACTCCTCCTGCCTGTCCTCTAGGACGTCCGTGCCTAAGAGCACACTCACCCCCGACGGACGGAGGACAGACAGACGCAGACTCAGCAACAAGGACTAGCAGCGTAGTCGTAGACGACAGCGAGTAGCAAAGTCGACGAGCTCAGCGACAAGAGCAGACGCAGCAGTGGACTCAAAAGAGGGGTCGGTGACGACAGTAGCAAGGAGACGCGTGACAGTAGGACTGGCAGCACGAAGGGAGTCTGACTCAGGGTCGGCAAGCACAAGAAGAGAGGACTCAGGAGGAGAAGGCAAAGGGGCACGCAGAGGAGCAGTGGACGGACGCAGAGACATCCGGTGCGTGCCAGGGACAGGAGGATGACGCTGACGCGAACCGCGACCACTAGCGCGAGCAGCACGAACAGGCGACGCGGGACGAGACGCAGGCTCACGACGCTCAGCAAGACCTCCAGTAGGACCAGTGTAAGGAGAGGGAGCAGGCAGTGGGAGGCGGGCTCTAAATGTGACTGAGACTGGACAGGCGGTGGACACTCTACAGGAGGAGAAAGACCAAGAACCTGCTGCAGGAGCGGAACGAAGTACGGCCGAGGCCGCGCGCCAACTCCAGACACAGCAGGGACAGCACCAGCACCCTCAGAGGCTGCACCAGCGCCAACAGCACCTCCAGCTGCAGGACCTCCAGCAGCACCACCAGCACCCGGAGCAGGACCACCGCCAGGACGGACAGCAGTAGTCTCAGCACCAACACCCTCAGCAGCTCTAGCTCCAGTCGGACCCGCAGGCTCAGCAGCTCCGGGACCGGCGGCACCAGCACCCTCAGCGGCCGAAGAAGCTCCAGCTCCAGCAGTACGGCTCCACCGGCGAGTAAACCACCCGCGCAGCTCCTGTGGAGAGAGGGGCTCCCGCCGAGACAAAGCACCCGGAGAACCTCCAGACTCAGCATCGCCAGACGCCACAAGGGTAGGTCCAGCGACCGCTGGCTCCGCACCTCCAGGCTCAGCAGCTCCCAAACGCAGCACCCCCTGGCTCAGCACTCCCAGGCTCAGCACCCCCAGGCTCAGCACCCCCAGGCCCAGCACCCCCAGTCGCAGTACCCCCAGGCTCAGCACCCCCAGTCGCATCACCCCCAGACTCAGCACCCCCAGGCTCAGCACCCTACTGCGCGCAGCACCCCAGAGTCAGCACCCCCAGGCTCAGCACCCGCAGCAGTACCAGAGTCACCAGCAACCTCGACCGGCTCGACTGCGTCTACCTGGGACACACCTGAAGGGGCAGGACCCTGAGGGTGAAGGGGGTCTACCTGGGGGGGACCTGGCACGAGGAAGTGCGGTGGCGGGGGGAGGGAAGGAGTGCGGTAGGGGAAGAGGCGGTAGAAGGGGACTGACTCGTCGAACGTGACGTCCTGGGAGGACAGAACACGACGAGAGGAGGGGTGGTAGAACTGCCACCACTGGTGCGTCAGGGGGGGAAGCCAAGGAAGACATAGGGAGCAGCACGAGGGGACAGCTTGTCCGTAGACAAGTCGCGGACAAACGCCCGAGATCCCCAGACACGGAACGCAGACGCATCGCCGACCTTCCCCGTCCACAGCAGAGCTGGGGAGGTCTCCGGCCGGGAGACCCTGGGCTGAAGGTTGATCTGATGCGCCGCGTACCGAACCGCAAACGGCCACAGAAAATGGGGGGCAGCCGCATGCATCATGGACGTACGAGCGACGTCCATGACCATGCCAATGCGGCGCTCAGCAATCCCATTTTGCTGTGGAGAGTCCGGAAGCGTGAAGGTCTGGCGGATGCCTCGCGCACGACAGAAGGGTCGCAGAAGGCCCGAGGAGAACTCTCTGCCTCGGTCAGAGTACAGACGCAGAACAGGAAAGTCCGAGCCGAAGCTCCTCTTGAGCTGGAGACGAGCTGAGCGGATCCAGTCGATCAACACCGCAGTGACATCACCCTTGCTGCGCAAGGGGAAGACTGTGGTGTAACGCGAGTAGTCGTCAACCACCAGTAGGAAGTAGCGCTCGTGACCCTGTCCACGGACGCGGGCCGGGCCCCACACGTCCAAGTGAAGCGTCTGCAGCGGAGCCTCTGTCGGGGGAAACTGAGAGGAGTGAGGGGCAGCCCGGAGCCGCCCCTCGACACAGGGGACACAGGAAGGACCAGGCCGCGAAGGAAGGGGAGGGAGGGACTGGGGGAGACCAGAGACAAGGACACGGGAGGCCATGCCCCGAAGACGAGGCAGGGAGGGGTGACCAAGGCGGTGGTGCCACAGGAGAGTCTCGTGAGACAGGAGGCGACACGAGCAGGGGGCAAGACTCAGGAACAGACCTGGACGCAGCAGCAAGCACCTGGACCCGACGCAGCTACCTGGCCAGACGCAGAGACAGGAGGAGACGCAGTGGTCAGGGTGTAGAGACTCGACCCCGGCCTGCGTGAAAACGTGGCCAGGTGTCGGCTTGTGCGGGCATCCAAGCAGTGGGTCACCTGCTGACTCGCAGGAGTGAACTGGTCAACCCCCGCATCCTGCAGGTCAGCACCACTCACCAAGTTCGTCAGAACGAGGGGAGGTACAGACCAGACAAGGTGCCCGAGGGGGCAGCAGGACACGGGAGGACTGTGGAAAAGTGAGAGAGGACAGGACCCCAATAGGGGTCAGCCAGGGAGACTGCAACCCGGCCGACCCAAGCGCTGCGTGAGTGTGGTGCGGTCCTCGAAGAAGGAGCGAGAAGCCCCCCGAGTCAAGCGTGAAGGTGAGGGAGGCCGAAGCCGACGCGGTACCTGAGAGCGCAGCCTCACCAGTACCTGAGGGCGCAGACGCGCTGGCACACCAGAGCAACAGCCTCACAAGCACCTAGCGCAGCAGTACCTATGCCCGGGTCGGGCGAGAAACACCGGTAACAGTCACCCTCATCACTAATAGTCACAGCATACATGGCAGCAAGGATAGCATCAAAGTAAAGATCATAGATAGCTACGCCTGCCCTAGACAGCTCTCCCCAGCGGGGGATCTCACTAGCCTCGGGGAACTGCTGACGCCAAGCGTCCGTCAGGCGGCCAAAGCAGCGCTGGGTGGGGGTGGGCACACCCACACTGCTCACCCGCGCGGTCGCCGGAGCGAGGACGTAGGTGCACGGACCAAAACCCCCACCACGCTGACGCTGCGTGTACCACTCAAACGGAGCTGCTGAGGGGGGGGGGATGTCCCGAGAACGCTGCTGCTGCTGCTGCTGGCGGGCGGTGACCACCACCAGAGCCGCTCCGCTGCGAGGCAACCACCCCGACCAGCTCCACCTCCTCCCCGCCACCGCCGCCTCCACCGCCGCCACCACCCGCCACCATCCGCTCCCACCGCTACCCGCCGCCCCCGCCGCCTCCGCCTCACTGCCGCCGACCACCACCACCACCTCCGCCACCACTCCCACCGCCAACCCCACTCCCTCCGCCCGACTCCACCGCCACCGTCCACCACCCCGCTAGCTCCACCCGCGCCCTTGCCCCCCTTGCCCTTGCCAGAGCGGCGTCTCCCGCTAGTGCAGACGCCGCAACCGACCGACTCAAGACCAAGTAGGTCGGCCGCAGACAGCAGAGGCAACAGAGGGCAACAGGGGGGAAGGGGAACACCCCTCAAAGATGGGGGTGCGAGGGTCACCACGAGAGGCTCCTACAGCGACTATGCTCTTCTCCGCTGCTAGGAGGGCCTTCTCTAGGAGGTCAACAGTGAGAGTGGTGGGACAGACTGAGAGAAAGTGGTCCCTGACTACGCGAAGGGAGTCAGGGAGGCGGGTGACTATGTAATAGAGAGTGATGTACATGGGGGGGGGGGTTCTTGGCGCAGAACTCAGCAGGAAGCGCGGCGCGGTAGCGAGTGTCACTAGTGCGGAGGTGCGTAATGAGGTCAGCAACTGTGGGAAATGCAGCAAGGTCAGGGAAGAGGTACGGTAGCATGAGGCGGCTCAGTGCAGCAGTGGCAGGGGAAGAGTAGCGCGCAACTACAGCGTCGTACAAGGTCTGAGCACTCTTGTACTGAATAATTGCATGCGCTCAGTGGTAGGCAGGTGGCCACGCACAGCAAGACGTGCAGCAGCATCGCGGGTGGCCCACTGAGAGCGAACAGTGGGGTCAGCATCAGCAGCAGGGGCAGGAGAGGCGCCAGAGGTGAGGTCAAAGAGAGAAAGACCGTCCGCCCTATTGCACTGTAAGAACAGCTGCAGGTTGTCGACCCAGACCTCAAAGTCAATGGCTCGACCCTCAGCGTCAAAAGTGAGGACACTAGGGGTAGCCATGACGACGGTAGACTAGCAGTGCAAGCTGTAGGGGAAGGGCACGAAGTGACAGAGAGGGTGTGCTCACACGGACAGGGCTGCTCGGGCGGCTCAACTGTAGGGCGGCTCGGCGGCTGGGCGGCTTCGGCTGCGGGGCGGCTCGACTGCTGGGCGGCTCGGCGGCTCGGCGGCTCGGCGGCTGGGCGGCTCGGCTGCACGGCGGCTCGGCTGGTGGGCGGCCGGGCGGCTCGGCGGCAGGGCGGCTCGGCTCCTCTGGTACAGGGCGGCGCGGCGGTCGGCGGCTCGGTGCGCGCTGCTGTAGGAGGGGAGAGCGGCGGGGGCCGCAGCAGACGGGCGGCGGGGGCCCGTTGACGTAGGGCGGCGGGGCCGGGTGAAGTAGGGCGGCGGGGCCCTTGAAGTAGGGCGGCGGGGCCCTTGAAGTAGGGCGGCGGGGCCCTTGAAGTAGGGCGGGCGGGGCCGCAGGTGTAGGGCGGCGGGGCCGCAGCAGACGGGCGGCGGGGCCGCAGACGTAGGCGGCGGGGGCCGCTGAAGTAGGGCGGCAGGGCCCGTTGAAGTAGGGCGGCGGGGCCGCGAAGTGGGGCGGCGGGGCCGCGAAGTGGGGCGGCGGGGGCCGCAGCAGACGGGCGGCGGCGGGGCAGCTGAAGAAAGGGCGGCGGGGCCGCGAAGTGGGGGCGGCGGGGCCGCAGCAGACGGGCCGGCGGGGCCGCTGAAGCATGGCGGCGGGGCCGCGAAGTGGGGCGGCGGGGCCGCGAAGTGGGGCGGCGGGGCTGCTGAACAGGGCGGCGGGGCCCGTGAAGTAGCAGGGAGTTAGGGCGGCAAGGCCGTAGAGTAGGGCGGCAAGGGCCGCGACGTAGGGCGGCGGGGCCACGAAGTAGGGCGGGCGGGGCCGCAGGAGTAGGGCGGCGAGGCCGGCAGTTAGGGCGGCGGGGGTCGCGACGTAGGGGCGGCGGGGCCGCGAATGCGGGTGGCGGGGCCACGCTAGTAGGTGGCGGGGCCGCACGAACGGGCGACGGGGCCGCTAAGGTAGGGAGGGCCGCTAGGGTGTAGGGGCCGCTAGGGCGGCTACGACGAGGTGAGAGCGCGACTCCGGGCGGAGGCGCGCTTCGGGCAGGAAAAAAAATTCGAAATTTGGTGGGCCCTAGGCACAGTTTCCCACAGGGGAACCTGCTCGATACCATGAGAAAATAGAACGAGAATGAATGAACTATGAATGAACTGAGTACAAATACTAACCCTAATTGGGTTGTACCCCTTGTGGACTACCCCACTATAGCCTACACAATATGCAAAAAGCTATATGTTCTGACAACAGAAGTATACAGAAGTACTACACCTTACTGCGTACAAAGACAAGCCAGTGACAAATGAAAAATTTAGCTTGCGAATGGATTGCCAGCATCAGCAGCAGCCCCCAACAACACATCTGTCAGAACTTATATTATGTAACTGCCTGTAGCTGTAGTTAGTGTAGTTATTTAAATCTGTAGGTGGTGCACCTCTTCCTTGTGTTTCCTTGCTATATGTTCCTTGAACCTATAATGAAACCACCTTTTCACCTTTCCAACTTTTCTCGACTCTCCCCTCCCTAGGCAAAACCCATCGATACCTAAGTTGGGCCTAGGCTTTCTAAGCCTAGGCCTAGTTACTACTCAGCTCATTCTCGCTTATTTTAACATGGTTATCAGAGCAGTTTCGTCCTGGCCTATGGGCCGCCCAATTCTTCCGCTGCTGGATTTCTGGTCACGTGCCTCGGCGCGTGACGTTTTACTTTTCTACCCGTCGCGGACACCGCCCCCTTTGGCGCCTGCGGCGGTGCACTTGGCGCCCGCGGACCCGCCTCTGGCGCCGCGGCGGTGCCCTTTGCCGTCGCGGACCCCCCTTTGGCGCCCGCGGCGGTGCACTTGGCGCCCGCGGACCCGCCTCTGGCGCCCGCGGCGGTGCCCTTTGCCGTCGCGGACCAGCCTTTGGCGCCCGCTGCGGTGCCCCTTGGCGCCGCCGGGACCCGCCTCTGGCACCCGCGGCGGTGCCCTGCGCCATCGCAGACCCGCCCCTGGCGCCCGCGGCGGTGCCCTTGAGCCGCCGCGGACCCGCCCTTGGCGCCTGCGACGGTGCTTTCCGCACTTGCATTCCCTGCAGCTGCCCCTGACCTACCTGCATCGACCCTATCTAGCCGCTCTGCGGCTTTCTTCCCGCCCACCCCCTCCTCCTTCATCTCCCTGCAGCCGTGGGGGGAGGGTATGGGGGTGGCGGGTGTTGGAGTCGTGGGTCGTACCCTTCCCTTCCCCTCCTCCTCCTTTTGTTCCCACTGCTGCAGCTGCCGCTGGGGGGGAGGGTGTGAGGGTGTGGGGGAGCAGGGGGAGAGGCGCCGGGGTGGCGGGTGTGAGGCAACCAGCAGCCGTCCCTCCACCTCTCCTCTCTCCCCCCCCTCTCTGCTGCTCCTGCAGCAGTGTGGGGGAGGGGAAGGAGGAGGGTGAGAAGATGGAGGGGGTGACCTACTTGTGTCAGCCCGCCTGCAGTTCCTGCTGTTGCTTGTTCTTTATTATTTTGCATGTGTACACCTGCAGGTTGTATTCTACACAAACTCCTGCTGCAGGCAGTTATGGGGGAGTGTCAGAACTTATATTATGTAACTGCCTGTAGCTGTAGTTAGTGTAGTTATTTAAATCTGTAGGTGGTGCACCTCTTCCTTGTGTTTCCTATGCTATATGTTCCTTGAACCTATAATGAAACCACCTTTTCACCTTTCCAACTTTTCTCGACTCTCCCCTCCCTAGGCAAAACCCACTCGATACCTAAGTTGGGCCTAGGCTTCTAAGCCTAGGCCCTAGTTACTACTCAGCTCATTCTCGTTCTTTCTTTCACAACATCCAGTGTGTGGATCAGGCATGTCGATTCAAGGGCATATGCCCTTAATGCCCTGAACATTCCGGGCAACTTTCGCTCCAGCTCGACTGCCAAAAGTGTTAGAATCGCACTGCACCTGTGCCACTAAGTGCCGCGCTCGACCCGCCCCAGATGTGTTAAGGGCCCTAACCAGGCCTTCCCCTGTCTCGAAGTTTTGATTTCTGGTTGTAGGACCCATCACCCCCCCAAATCCTGCTTGACCCCACCCACTTTCTCCTTAGGTTGCACGAGAGGAGTGGATTTTTCCCTTAGCGTTTTCTAGCCAATCCTGTGTTTGTAAAGCGTCTAAGTCAGCTTGGAGCACCCGAATTGTCCCTTATTGTCTAAGTGTCCCCCCCCCCCCCCCCCCCCTTTCCTCCTTGGGTTGCACGAGAGGAGTGGATTTTCCCTTAGCGTTTTCTAAGCCAGCTTGGAGCACCCGAATTTCCCCTTAGCATCTGAGTGTCCCCCCCCACCCCCCCCCTTTCTCCTTAGGTTGCACGAGAGGAGTGGATTTTTCCCTTAACATTTTCTAGCCATCCTGCGTTAGTGAAGTGTCTAAGTAAGCTTGGAGCACCCGAATTTTCCCTTAGCGTCTTTAAGTGTGCCCCCCCCCCCCCCCCCCCCCCCCCCTCCTTTCTCTGAGGTTGCACGAGAGGAGTGGATTTTTCCCTTAGCGTTTTCTACCATCCGTGTTTGGAAAGTCAGCTTTAGAGCACCCAAAATGTCCCTTCGCGTCTAAGTGCAAACTCTTCACAGGCCCGGATTTTAAGTTTTCACTTTGGGGTGCGCCCGTGACCGTTAAGGGCCGCCCAACGCTCAGCTACATCAAAAATAGGGTCAGATGGGAGGAGCTGGGGAGCGCAAGTATGGGTCCCAGGAACTTCGACAGGCCTGGTGTGGATACATAGTTCCTGGCTGGAATTTAAAGTTGTGGGCCCTTCTCAAACTGCGGCAAATGTAGTGTACGCGAGAATCTTTCTTAATGAATCCTAATTTGCTCCCTCGACGTGCCACGGAGGTAGCTGTCATCTCACCATTCAAAGCCACAATCTTTTCAGACTTGCACGCGCAATACTCACGTGACCGATGTCACGTCCCCCCCACATAAACCAATTCACCCTCCGTCGTGAATGCAAGTAATATCTCTCTAAACAAAATGACAGATGACTTTCCTCGTAAGAACGCGATCCTTAGTAGCCCGCGGCGGGGATCACGCACTCTTATATATTTCAGCAGTTCCAGCAGCAGATTGACACGCTTGCGGAATATTAAGAGAAGCTGCGGCAACTCTACTGCAAGACTTGCGACTTCTGTTGTTGTAAGCCACTCGCTCGCACCTGGCGGGAGCGGAATATTACCACCACATGCAAAGCAGCAAAGGCAAGCAGCGAACGATGATATTTTCTGAGAGGAGGCACCACAAATTCATCGAAGAACAGTTTGTGGCTGTCCTTGGGATTCGTGAGTCTCGAAGGGGCCCTTACCAGGCACTGTGAGCTAATGGCCAGTCTGAGGTAGGCCGTTTAGCGTCTCTGTTAGCAATTGAAGTCAGCAGGCTGAGGGGACCTTTCGTCTTGAAATGAGCTTATCCGAGCATTTCCCTCGCGCAGCAAAGACTCTATTTTTTTCTTTCGAGTGATGCTTTGAGCAATGGTGGATTGATCTGGCTTTTCAAATTCGGCTATGTAACTAGACTCTTTTTGTTTGCGCCGCAACATTCCTCACCGTGACAACGTCGCGCGGCGAACGTAGTTGAACTCTCTGCATTTCGCCACCATCAGCACTCTCCACCGGAGAGTGGAGCCTTTTGCTGGCAGCACTCTGCTGGCAGCAGCCTGCTGGGAGCCGCGGGAGCTTTTCTGCTTGACAAGAACTTACTACTGCGTACTACTGAATACTAGTAGTATTCAGAGGCGCCGAGCCTTTTGAACCTTACAACTAGTAGTTGTAAGCCCGCAGGGGCTAGTACTAGTACTAGAAATGGTGATCCCTTCGCCATCATCACCATCATCTTCACATCAGCACGTCCAATCCAACGCGCAAACGCCGCCAGCGCCGGCGCCGGCGGCGCGCAATCCAGCAGCGCTGCTGCTTCACGATGAGTCGCTGCCGGTACACGATGAGTCGCTGCCGCTGCACCGATGAGTCGCTGCCACAGCACAATGAGTCGCTGCCGCTGCACAATGAGCCACTGCCGCAGCAGTCGGCGCGCTTCTCTGTGAACCCCTCCCTGGGCGCTTCCGCCTCCTCCGCCACCTGTGCCGCCGCCACCGCCTCCACAGCTCCCGCCGCTGGGCCAGCCCGGGGGAGTAGTATTTTGCAGAATTTGTCAGAATATTATCTTATGTTCTAGCCTGTAGTGGGGTGCTCTATAGCGAGTACAACCTTTCTAGGGTTTGCTATTTGTATCCCCATTTCTGCTAGTTCAACCCTCTTTCTTTCTTCTAATTTTGTCATGGTATCAGAGCGGGTCTCGGGTTCGAATCCGGTGTATGCACATGTTGGCCGTTGCCACTGTGCTCAGTCCTGGGCCTCCCAGTGTGGGGGGGTGTCAGTAGAGCTACACTGTGAGATCCCGATCGATCCTAGGGGGGGTTACAGGCGCGGTTGCCTGGGGGGTTATGGGCGCACTGACCCGCTACTGAAACAAAGCCCTTTTTATCCCAATGGTCTAGTGGTTGGGATTCTGACATGGTATCAGAGCTGCATGGGGAAGCTGCATGGAGGTTGCCGTACTGATGTCCGCAGCACCTGTAGTCCGGGGCGCTGTCCCGGTAGCCCAGTGAGCTAGACTTCTACGCCAGCCGCCCGTGGGTCCGTTGCCCGTCTGCCGCTACTTGAGCCGCGGGGCCTGTTACTCCTGTAGTCCGGGCGCTGTCCGGTAGCCGCTGTGCCAGTCTGCCTCCTGTTGCCCGTGTGTCTGCAGCTTCAGCCGTCGCCTCCTATCTCCTCTCCCCTCACTCTCTCTCCTCCTCCTCACTTGCCCGTTGTGACTACCACTAGCTTTGCTCATAATTGTGAACTCTAAACTATTTCTTCTTGAACTTGTGCTCAGATTGTGTGGTGACATTGTGATCCACCCTGAGCTTGTACTGCTTTGCCTGCTCTGCTGATTACACCCCACTTTGGCTATGGGGGTGTGTCAGAATATTATCTTATGTTCTAGCCTGTAGTGGGGTGCTCTATAGCGAGTACAACCCTTCTAGGGTTTGCTATTTGTATCCCCATTTCTGCTAGTTCAACCCTCTTTCTTTCTTCTAATTTTGTCAGAATTTGCCGATTCTCCCCTACCAAGTGCTCCTTGAATACGATCCGCCACTGGGAGACCCTCTTGCCCTATTGGATCTGCCTATACCGGAGCAAACCGGATGACTTTCATCCTCCTCCTCCCTCTCCACCATTCACACGTCCGCAGTCTCTCTCCATCCTTCCCCATTCCTCCTCCCTTCTCCAATCCTGCCTTCTCCTATCCTCCCCTCTCCAGTTCTCCCTTCCCCAGGGGCGCTTCCTGTCCCTCTCCTCCATTCTGTCAGAACATATATATAGCTTATACTATTGTGTAGGCTGTAGTGGGGTATCCCATAGGGGGTACAACCCAGTTAGGGTTTCCTATTTGTACTCACTTCATTCATAGTTCATTCATTCTCATTCTATTCTCAACATGGTATCGAGCAGGTTCCCCCGCGGGAACTGTGCTTAGGGCCCACCACCTTCAAAACTTTTTTTTCTGCCCGGAGCGCGCTCCGGGCCCTTTGCTCTCTCCTTTTTGGCCTGCCCTGCGGCCCCCCTAGACGCCCGCGCGAGCCGCCTTTTGCCGCCCGCGCACCGCCCGTCTCGGCACCTAGCCGCCCGCGCCCGCCCGTTCAGGCACCTAGCCGCCCGCGCGCCGCCCGTCCCGGCCCTTAGCCGCCCACGCGCCGCCCGTCAGGGCTCCTAGCCGCCAGCGCGCCCGCCCGTTTCGGCCCCTAGCCGCCAGCGCGCCGCCCGTTCAGGCCTCTAGCCGCCAGCGCGCTCGCCCGTTCAGGCCCCTAGCCGCCAGCGCGCCGCCCGTTCAGGCCCCTAGCCGCCCGCGCGCCGCCCGTCAGGGCTCCTAGACGCGCACGCGCCGCCCGTTCAGGCCCACGGCCGCCCGCGCGCCGCTCGTCACGGCCCCTCGCCACCTGCGCGCCGCCCGTCCCGGCCTCTAGCCACCCACGCGCGCCCGTCCCGGCCCCTAGCCGCCCACGCGAGCCCGTCCCGGCCCTTAGCCGCCCTCGAGCGCCCGTCCCGGCCCCTAGCCACCCACGCGCGCCCGTCCCGGCCCCTAGCCGCCCACGCGAGCCCGTCCCGGCCCTTCGCCGCCCTCGAGCGCCCGTCCCGGCCCCTAGCCACCCACGCGCGCCCGTTCCGGCCCCTCACCGCCCGCGCGCGCCGCCCGACCCGGTCCCGAGCCGCCCTGTGCCGCCCGTCCCGGCCGCGCTCTCCCGTCCCTGCTGCACGACGCTGTCCCGCCCCCCCGCGCCGCCCGCCAGCCGCCGTGCGACCTGAGCCGCCCGAGCCGTCTCCGCAGCTGAGGAGCCGAGCCGCCCGAGCCGCCTGTGTCGCTGTCTGCTCGAGCCGCCCGAGCCGCCCGCGCGCCGCCCGAGCCGCCCGAGCCGCCCGAGCCGCCTGCACCGCCTGAGGAACCGAGCCGCTGGTCCTGCGAGGCTGCTGTTGCTGCTGAGCCGGTTGAGCTGCTGTGTTGCTGTGCTGCTGTGCTACTGCGCTGCCCGACCCGTCCTGTCTGGTGAGACCGTCTACTGCTGTCATGGCTACCCCTAGTGTCCTCGCTTTTGACGCTGAGGGTCGCGCCATTGACTTTGAGGTCTGGGTCGACGACTTGCAGCTGTTCTTGCAGTGCGATAGAGCAGACGGCCTTTCTCTCTTTGACCTCACTTCTGGCGCCTCTCCTGCCCCTGCTGCTGATGCTGATGCCACTGTGCGCTCTCAGTGGGCTACCCGCGATGCTGCTGCACGTCTTGCTGTGCGTCGCCACCTCCCTACCTCTGAGCGCGCGCACTTTAGTCAGTACAAGAGTGCTCAGACCTTGTACGACGCTGTAGTTGCGCGGTACTCTTCCCCTGCCACTGCTGCACTGAGCCGTCTCATTCTTCCCTACCTCTTTCCTGACCTCTCTGCCTTTCCCACTGTCGCTTACCTCATTACGCACCTCCGCACTAGTGACACTCCCTACCGCGCCGCCCTTCCTGCTGAGTTCTGCGCTAAGAACCCCCCCCCCATGTACATCACTCTCTACTACGTAGTCGCGCGCCTCCCTGACTCTCTTCGCGTAGTCAGGGACCACTTTCTCGCAGTCTGTCCCACCACCCTCACTATTGACCTCCTCGAGAAGGCCCTCCTCGCGGCGGAGAAGAGCATCGTCGCTGTAGGAGCTTCTCGGGGTGACCCTCGCACCCCCATCTTTGAGGGGTGCTCTCCTTCCCCCCTACTGCCCTCTGTTGCCTCTGCTGCTGCTGCCGACCTGCTTGGTCTTGAGTCGGTCGGCGCGGCGTCTGCCCCTAGTGGGCGACGCCGCTCTGGCAAGGGCAAGGGAGGCAAGGGCGCGGGTGGAGCTGGAGGGGGCGGTGGAGGTGGCGGTGGAGGCGGCGGAGGGAGTGGGGGTGGCGGCGGGAGTGGTGGAGGGGGTGGTGGTGGTAGTGGTGGCAGCGGCGGCGGAGGCGGCGGAGGTGGCGGCAGCGGTGGTGGTTGCGGCAGCGGTGGCGGTGGAGGCGGTGGAGGGGGCGGAGGAGGAGGCGGTGGTGGCGGAGGGGGTGGAGCTGGTCGGGGTGGTACCCAGCAGCGGAGCGGCGGTGGTGGTGGTCAGCGCCCGCAGCAGCAGCAGCAGCAGCGTTCGCGGGACATCCCTCCGCCCCAGCAGCTCCGTGAGTGGTACGCTCGGCGTCAGAGGGGTGCGGGTGCTGGTCCGTGTGCCTACGTCCTTCGTTCCGGCGACCGCGCGGGTGAGCAGTGTGGGGGTGCCCACCCCACCCAGCGCTGCTTTGGCCGCCTGACGGACACTTGGCGTCAGCAGTTCCCCGAGGCTAGTGAGATCCCCCGCTGGGATGAGCTTCTTAGGGCTGGTGTAGCGATCTTTGATCTTGACTTTGATGCTATCCTTGCTGCTATGTATGCTGTGACTATTAGTGAGGAGGGTGACTGTTACCGGTGTTTCCCGCCCGACCCGGGCATTGGTACTGCTGCGCTAGGTGCTTGTGAGGCTGCTGCTCTAGGTGCCAGTGCGTCTGCGCTCTCAGGTATTGGTGAGACTGCGCTCTCACGTACTGCGTCGCCTTCGTCCTCCCTCACTTTCACACTTGACTCCGGGCTTCTCGCTCCTTCTTTCGAGATCGCACCACCCTCACACCGCTTAGTCGGCCGGTTGCAGTCTCCCTGGCTGACCCCTCTGGGGGTCCTGTCCTCTCTCACTTTTCCACTGTCCTCCCGTGTCCGGCTGCCCCCTCGGGCACCCTGTCTGGTCTGTACCTTCCCTCGTTCTCGACGAACTTGGTGAGTGGTGCGGACCTACAGGATGTGGGGGTTCACCAGTTCACTCCTGCGAGACAGCGGGTGACCCACTGCACGGACGCACGCACAGGCCGGCACCTGGCCACGTTCTCGCGTCGGCCGGGGTCGAGCCTCTACACCCTGACCACTACGTCTCCTCCTGTCCCTGCGTCTGGTCAGGTAGCTGCGTCAGGTCAGGTGTTTGCTGCTGCGTCCCGGTCTGGCCCTGAGTCTGCCCCCTGTTCGTGTCGCCTCCTGTCTCACGAGACCCTCCTGTGGCACCACCGTCTGGGCCACCCCTCCTTGCCCCGTCTTCGGAGCATGGCTTCCCGTGTCCTTGTCTCTGGTCTTCCCCAGTCTCTCCCTCCCCTTCCTTCGGGGCCAGGACCTTCCTGTGTCCCCTGTGTTGAGGGGCGCCTCCGGGCTGCTCCTCACTCCTCCCAGTTCCCCCCGACAGAGGCTCCTCTGCAGACACTTCACATGGACGTGTGGGGCCCAGCCCCTGTCCGTGGGCAGGGTCACGAGCGCTACTTCCTGTTGGTGGTTGACGACTACTCGCGTTACACCACAGTCCTCCCCCTGCGCAGCAAGGGTGCTGTCACTGAGGTGCTGATCGACTGGATCCGCGAGGCTCGTCTCCAGCTCAGGAGGAGCTTCGGCTCGGACTTTCCTGTTCTGCGTCTGCACTCGGACAGAGGCGGGGAGTTCTCCACTCGCCTTCTGCGAGACTACTGTCGTGCACGGGGGATCCGCCAGACCTTCACGCTTCCGGACTCTCCACAGCAAAATTGGATTGCTGAGCGCCGCATTGGCATGGTCATGGATGTCGCTCGTACGTCCATGATGCATGCGGCTGCCCCCCATTTTCTGTGGCCGTTTGCGGTTCGGTACGCGGCGCATCAGCTCAACCTTCACCCCAGGGTCTCTCGGCCTGCGATGTCCCCGAGTCTTACTGTGGACGGGGAAGGTTGGCGATGCGTCTGCGTTCCGTGTCTGGGGATCTCGGGCGTTTGTCCGCGACTTGTCTGCGGACAAGCTGTCCCCTCGCGCTGCTCCATGTGTCTTCCTTGGCTTCCCCCCTGACGCTCCAGGGTGGCAGTTCTACCACCCCTCCTCTCGTCGTGTTTAGTCCTCCCAGGACGTCACGTTCGACGAGTCAGTCCCCTTCTACCGCCTCTTCCCCTACCGCACTCCTTCCCTTCCCCCGCCACCGGACTTCCTTGTGCCGGTTCCCCCCCCGGTAGACCCCCTCCCCCCTCAGGTTCCTGCCCCCTCAGGTGTGTCCCAGGTAGACGCAGTTGACCCGGTCGAGGTTACTGATGACTCTGGTGCTGCTGCGGGTGCTGAGCCTGGGGGTGCTGACTCTGGGGGTGCTGTGCGCGCGGGTGCCGAGCCTGGGGGTGCTACTGCGGAGGGTGCTGGGCCTGGGGGTGCTGAGCCGGGGGTGCTGTGCCTGGAGCTGCTAAGCTAGGGGGTGCTGAGTCTGGGGGTGCTGAGTCTGGAGCTGCTGAGCCTGGGGGTGCTGGGTCTGGAGCTGCTGAGCCTGGGGGTGCTACGTCTGGAGCTGCTGAGCCTGGGGGTGCTGCGTCTGGGGCTGCTGAGCCTGGGGTTTCTCCTGGTGCTACGTCTCGGCGGGAGCCTCTCTCTCCACAGGAGCTGCGCGAGTGGTTTGCTCGCCGCTGGAGGCGTACTGCCGGAGCTGGAGCTTCTTCGACCGTCGAGGGTGCTGGTGCCGCCGGTCCCGGAGCTGCTGGACCTGCGGGTCCTACTGGAGCTGGAGCTGCTGGAGGTGTTGGTGCTGAGACTCCAGCTGTCTGTCCTGGAGGTGGTTCTGCTGCTGGTGCTGCTGGAGGTCCTGCCGCTGAGGGTGCTGGTGCTGTCCCTGCTGAGCCTGGAGCTGCCGCGCGGCCTCGGCCGTACTTCGTTCCGCTCCTGCAGCAGGTTTTTGGTCTTTCTCCTCCGGTAGAGTGTCCACAGCCATTCCAGTCGCAGTCACTGTTGGAGCCTTCCTCCCCACTGCCTGCTCCCTCTCCTTACACTGGTCCTACTGGAGGTCTTGCTGAGCGTCGTGAGCCTGCGTCTCGTCCCGCGTCGCCTGTTCGTGCTGCTCGCGCTAGTGGTCGCGGTTCGCGTCAGCGTCCTCCTCCTGTCCCTGGCACGCACCGGATGTCTCTGCGTCCGTCCACTGCTCCTCTGCGTGCCCCTTTGCCTTCTCCTCCTGAGTCCTCTCTTCTTGTGCTTGCCGACCCTGAGTCAGACTCCCTTCGTGCTGCCAGTCCTACTGTCACGCGTCTCCTTGCTACTGTCGTCACTGACCCCTCTTTGAGTCCACTGCTGCGTCTGCTCTTGTCGCTGAGCTCGTCGACTTTGCTGCTCGCTGTCGTCTAGACTACGCTGCTAGTCTTGTTGCTGAGTCTGCGTCTGTCTGTCCTCCGTCCGTCGGGGGTGAGTGTGCTCTTGGCACGGACGTCCTAGAGGACAGGCAGGAGGAGTTACAGTCTCTGGCTGCTGCTTCACCTCATCTCGCGTCTGTACTGCTTGCTCCTGAGGGAGACCCGGATGCACTAGACATCCCGACTCCGCGCTCCTACGCGGAGGCCGTAGAGGGTCCCTACTCCTCTCAGTGGCAGGCAGCTATGGATGCAGAGATGGCTTCCTGGAAGTCCACAGGCACCTACGTTGACGCGGTTCCCCCTCCTGGGGCGAACATCGTCAGTGGCATGTGGATCTTCAGGGTGAAGCGGCCGCCAGGCTCTCCACCTGTCTTCAAGGCGCGGTACCTCGCTCGTGGCTTCAGTCAGCGGCAGGGAGTTGACTACTTTCAGACCTTCTCTCCCACCCCGAAGATGACCACTCTTCGGGTGCTGCTACACATAGCCGCTCAGCGCGACTACGAGCTTCACTCTCTCGACTTCAGCACTGCGTTCCTGCAGGGTAGCCTGCACGAGGAGATCTGGCTGCGCCGTCCACCTGGCTTCACTGGGACTTTCCCTCCTGGCACCCAGTGGAGCCTCCGACGGCCAGTCTACGGTCTCCGCCAGGCACCGCGTGAGTGGCACAACACACTGAGGACTACGCTTGCGGCTCTTGGGTTTGCTCCTTCTACTGCTGACCCGTCGCTGTTTCCGCGCACCGACACTTCACTGCCGCCGTTCTACATCCTCGTGTACGTCGACGACTTGGTCTTTGCCACAGCGGACACTGCTGGACTCGCCTACGTGAAGTCCGAGCTGCTGAAGAGACACACGTGCACAGACCTGGGTGAACTGCGCAGCTACCTTGGCTTGCAGATCACTCGGGACAGAGCACGCCGCACCATTACCTTGACTCAGTCACACATGGTGCAGCAGGTCCTTCAGCGCTTCGGCTTCACGTACTCCTCGCCTCAGGCCACTCCTCTGTCTACCCGCCACTCGCTCTCAGCTCTGCCTTCGGATGAGTCCGTAGAGTCGAGTGGCCCGTACCCAGAGCTTGTTGGCTGCCTCATGTACCTGATGACCTGCACACGACCTGACCTTGCATACCCTCTGAGCATTCTTGCACGCTATGTTGCTCCTGGGAGACACCGACCAGAGCACATGGCTGCAGCGAAGAGGGTATTGCGCTACCTGTGCAGTACGTCGGGCATGGGGCTAGTGCTTGGAGGGCGGAGTCCAGTGGTCCTTACAGGTCACGCGGACGCTTCTTGGGCTGACGACCAGGCTACGCAGCGGTCGTCACAGGGTTACACCTTCAGCTTTGGTTCCGGCTCTGTCTCGTGGCGGGCTACTCGTTCGTCTTCGGTTCTCAGCTCCAGTTGTGAGGCTGAGATCTACGCAGGGGCCATGGCTGCACAGGAGCTTCGCTGGCTCACCTACCTGCTGACTGACCTTGGAGAGCCGCCTCGTTCTCCTCCAGTGCTGTACGTAGACAACAAGGCCATGCTGGCCTTGTGTCGAGAGCAGCGTCTGGAGCACAGAACGAAGCACATTGCTCTTCGCTACTTCCTTGCTCGTGAGCTACAGCAGCGTGGACAGTTGCGGCTTGCGTACGTGGCCTTTGAGGCCAACACTGCTGATGTGTTCACCAAGGCACTTGTGCCTTGTGACCATCAGCGCTTCTGCACCCAGCTGGGTCTTGTGCCTGTCTTGCCTCACTTGCTCTCCTCTTGACTTTACTTGTACTGTGACATATATATACCTGCTCTTGCCTGTCTAGCTTTATATATATGTCTGTACTCTTGCATGTGAACTGGCCTTTGGCCTTGCTCTTGTGCTCGGACTGTGTGGTGACTTTGTGATCCACCCTGAGCTTTGCTTTGTCTTGCTTGACTGGTCTTGTGACCCCTTGTTCTCCCCCACTTTGCCTATGGGGGTGTGTCAGAACATATATATAGCTTATACTATTGTGTAGGCTTTAGTGGGGTATCCCATAGGGGGTACAACCCAGTTAGGGTTTCCTATTTGTACTCACTTCATTCATAGTTCATTCATTCTCGTTCTATTCTCAACACATTCCCCTGAGTTGTTTCTAATAACGCAAACGAGCCAAAAATCAAACCACGATCTCACCCAGCCTCCTCAATCTCCTCCTCCTCCTCCTCCTCCTCCTCCTCCTCCTCCTCCTCCTCCTCCTCCTCCTCCTCCTCCTCCTCCTCCTCCTCCTCCCCCTCCTCCTCCTCCCCCCCCCCCCCCCGTCCTCCACCCTTTCCCCCTCCCCCTCTTCCAACTGCTTTCCCTCTCCTTGACACTCGCCAGGCCGCGTCATCACCTGTCGTTGCCACGTCAGCAGGCGTTGGCTCCAGGTTCTGGGCGGCAAAGACTGAGGTTCCTCCAGGCAACGAGGCCTCGGCAGGTTCTGGTTCCGGCAGCAACGTTTGGAGACACTGTCATTGCTGCCGCCCAGTCCTGGACGTGGTTCTATTCCCACCCCTCGATATGTCGCTTCTCCCGCTACAGTTAACCCCCCGGTACAAGGTCGCTCATTACAGTCACAGACAGTACCAGCAGTGCTAGAATCATACTCGGTAGGGATGATGCAATACCCAGAAACGCACCTTCTCCTCGCCTGCTGAATTTGTTAGGATTCCAGTCAGACAAAGACTGTATAACCCAAAGGGGAGATGGGCTAAGCGCTGGAGAGGGAAGGATATGGGTAGGGGATGGGGAAGAGGGGGGAGAGAATAAGGGAAGGGGAAGGAGAGGGGAGGAGATGGGTGGGAGAAGGGAGGATAAGGGAGAGGGAAGGCAGCATAAAAGAGGGGGAAGGGAGGAAAAGGGAAGGGGAAGAGAGGAAAAGGGAGGGGGGAGGGAGGAAAAAAATAGGGGAGCGGAAATCAGGCCAGAGCATATAGAGGGTAGTGGTACCATCAGAGAGGATAAAGAGAGAAGGGATGAGACAGGCATGGGAAGAAGCATGGGAACACTTCTGAGGCGCCTCAAAATTGGCGCTTCGAGAGAGGATGGAGAGAGAAGGGATGAGACAAGCATGGGAAGAAGCATGGGAACACTTTTGAGGCGCCTCAAAATTGGTGCTTCGAGAGAGGATGAAGAGAGAAGGGATGAGACAAGATGGGATGGAGAAGAGAGGAGGGATGACGAGGAAAGAAGAGTGGCCATGAGGGGCAGTATGGGGATGGATGAAGAGATGGGAATAGGCATGGGAAGAAGCATGGGAACATGTTTTTAGGCGCCTCGAAGGTGGTGCAATCAGAGAGGATGAAGAGGGAACGGATGAGACAAGCTGGGATGGAGCAGAGAGGAGGGATGACGAGGAAAGAAGAGTGGACATGAGGGGGGTATGGGGATGGATAAAGAGATGGGAGTGGGCATGGAAAGAAGCATGGGAACAGGCACGGGTACAGTCATGGGTACAGGCATGGGTACAAGCATGGGGACAGGCATGGGGACAGGCATGGGGACAGGCATGGGGACAGGCATGGGAAGAGATATCACGGGGTTTGAGAGCAGAGGCGCTACAATGACAGAGACTGACACTAAGGCAGCAGCAGAAGCGGCAGCTGATGCTGCTAGATTGTCTTTTCTGCAGGAGCGGCATCAGCTGATTCTGCTGCGGCAACTTATGCTGCAGCAGCAGCTGCAGCAGCTGCAGCAGCAGGAGCAGCAGCAGCATCATCACAACAACAGCAGGCATTGCTACAGCAGGTCCGTCAGCAAACCCAGCAGCAACAGCAGCAGTTAGAGCAGCAGAGTTACTGTACAGATCTTCTGCAGCAGCAGCAATACCAGTTTCAGCTACAGGATCTGCAGCAGCAGAGGCGGTATGAGATGCAGCAGCAGGAGCAGCAAGGCTGGTTGCAGCAGCAGCAGCAGCAGCAGCCAAGCTGGTTGCAGCAGCAAGCTTTGTTGCAGCAGCAGCAGCAGCAGCGGCAAGGCTGGTTGCAGCAGCAGCAACAAGGCTGGTTGCAGCAGCAGCAGCACCAGCAACAAGGTTGGTTGCAGCAGCAGCAGCAGCAGCCAAGCTGGTTGCAGCAGCAAGCTTTGTTGCAGCAGCAGCGGCAAGGCTGGTTGCAGCAGCAGCAGCAACAAGGCTGGTTGCAGCAGCAGCAGCAGCAGCCAAGCTGGTTGCAGCAGCAAGCTTTGTTGCAGGCAGCAGCAGCAGCAGCAAGGCTGGTTGCAGCAGCTGCAGCAAGGCTGGTTTGCAGCAGCAGCAGCAAGATGAGCAGGAGAAGAGTCAGAGGCTGGACATTCATAAGCAGCAGCTGCAGCAGCAGCTGGGTTTGGAGCAGCGAGTAAAACAGTTTGCATGAGAGATCGAGAAGAAGAACAGCAACAGGTACGACAAGAGGCGGCACAATCACCCTCACAGCAGGTGCTGCTTCTGCAACAGGCAAGGCAGCGGTAGAGGGGAGCAAGAAGCAGCTCAGCAGCAAGCTCATCAGCATGCACAACAAGAGACACAGCAACAGATGCAGCTTCTGCTTCTGAGGCAACTGGAACTGCAGGCAAGACAGAAGCAGGAAGAGCGAGAAGCAGAACAGCAGGCGCGTCAACAGCTACAGCAACAAGACAGCACGCACCAGCAGGCAGGATCACAGGCAGGAATCCTGGCGTTTGAGACTTCTCATGTGCAATATCCATCCAAACCGGCCGAGCAACATCAGGATCTATCAATCGAGCAACATCAATATTTATTAGCCGAACATCATCCTCATAACTCGGGGTTGTTTTGAGCGAGAGAGCACATGCCCTCCTGTCCTCCTGGCTTGGAGTGGCAAGTCCCACTCCCTCTGCTGTGCTGTTGCTGCTGCCGCTGCTGCTGCTGCTGCCACTGCTGCTACTGGTGCTGCAAGTTCAACTGCTTCTGGTGTGCTATGGTGGTAGTGGTGGGACCGTTCAGTTTCATCTGGTGCTGGTTTCAACGCCCCTCCTCATGCTGCGCCGCCAGCCTCATGCCGCCACCCAGCCTCCAGCTCAGCTTTCTTCGGACCATCTCCCAAGCATGCTGGGGCAGAGGCCGGGCGGGTATTCTTGTCCTCTCTGCGGCAGCACCTTCCCCACATCACAGGTCGCTTGAGGACACATGACGTGCCACAGGGCACGAGGTAAGAGGACATCCCGAAAAGGGGAGGCTGCGGCAGCAGCTTCAGAGGCAGCAGCTGTAGCAGGACCATCAAGAGCAGGAGAGGAGGCTTGAGGAGGGCAGGTAGAGGAGGGGAGGGGAGGAGGAGAAGGAGATGAGGGGGAGGGGAAGAGGAAGGGGAGTGGGAAGGGGAAGGGAGAAGGGAAGGGGATTGAGAATGGGGAAGGGAATATCGAGGGGCGAGATGGAAGGTGTGAAGGATGTCTGGAGAAGCTATTTGAAAAGCAATAGGATGTTGCTGCTGTAGTGCAAAAGTAAGCCCCTTTGAATATCCCGCCCCACTCTCCCATCCCAACCCACTCTTTTCTTCCCATCCAAGCGCAAGGCGAGCATTATGTATCCCCCTTCTATATCTGTTCCAAAGCGGCAGTGCTGCTGCTGCTGCTGCTGCTGCTGCTAGTGCTGCTTGCTCTGCCACTGTGCTATGGCTGGTACTAGTGCTGATGAGGCTGCTGCATAATGCTAGTGTTGCTGCTAGTGCTGATGCCAGTGCTGCTAGTGCTGATGCCAGTGCTGTGCTGCTAGTGCTGGTGCTAGTATTGCAATCCTGCTGCTGCCAGTGCTGCTGCTGCTCGTGGGGGTCGATCCTGGTTCAGAGGAGCATCACAGCATGGAATCTCCACTGCTGCTCCTCCTCCTCCTGCTATTCCTGCTGCTGCCTCTGATGCTGCTGCTTCTCTCATTGCCGCTGCTGCCACTGGCCAGTGCCATTGCCACTGCCTCTCCTGCTGCTCTTTTATCAATTCATCAGATACTTGGAAGCAGAGAATATTGCAGGCTTGGACCGCAACCCAAGCCTGGCGCAAGCCTGGGCCCAAACCCAAGCCTTAGCCTGGGCCCAAACCTTGGCCAAGGCCCGAGCCGGACAA